TCCTGCTGCCTGCTCTTCAGCAGCACACTTTGTTTTCCCTTTTCTCTGTATAGCCCCATGCATAAAATGCAAAGGGAAGTAGTACTTTGAAATAGACTATTCATTCATTTGCTTAATTTTAATCTCAAAATCTGTTTCAAACAGAAAAGAACAAACATAAAGCCATATTAACATGAATGCTTGCAACTAAGGAAAATGTGGACAAATTTCAGTTTAGTATCTGTTGACCTACATATCCAGACAAAGAAAACAAAAGTTCGATCCTGTCCTAGCATCTTTAGGTGTATACACATACACACATACAGAATGGCCTTTAAGGCTCAACACAGCCTTGCTGACATTGAAACATATATGAAGATATGACAGATGCTTATATTCCTGAATGTTTCCAGGGATTTCAAAGGGTCTTTCTTCTTTGAAAACTGTGTTTAAAGATAAAGAAAACAAGAAACAACTCAAGGTCTGGTTTTTTAAATGGATACCATTAAAATCATGTCAGATCATTTTTATTTCAGCTGACATGATGTATTGGAGAGCTCAGCACATTACAATTTCTGCTCTTCATTACATTTACTAAAGCTCATTCCAACCTAAGAATCTTGAGAGGTGACAAGACAAATCCAGTTGCCAATAGAAAGGTAAGCAGATGGTGTTGCTCTGCTGGGGAGCTGAGGTGGAATAGCACATAAATGAGAAAGCAATCTCCTGATGGTTTGCTGTGTTTAATGCCTGAACTGAGAACTGGAGCTGAGTCAAACTGGCTTGCAGCCAAAGTCTTCACTGGATTCAAAGGAACCCCACAGCAATTTTCATTTGATGTTAGTGACCAAATGAGTATTTGCAGGGAGTACTAAAGTATTGATCTAAAGTACTGCTTAGTACTGCTTAAAGCAAACCACAGTGAAAGGGACAACATTGTCCCTTTTTAGTCTATAGATAAAAAATGACTCCCTAAAGCTGCCTTCTCCCTTCTTGTCAGTTTTGGAACAATTGCTTGGCATGCACAAGTAATTCAAACTCTTGCATTTAAGATCTCTAGAGCTGTCACTCTCCCTAAATGGTTTAATAGTTTAATTTATTTTTTTTTGCTTTATTAATACTGCTGAAGAACATTAGAAGCAGATCTAATTTCCACTGAAGTAAAGATGGATCTTTTGGGTGACTTTTCTGGTGCTCAAATTAGGTCCACAAGCAGTGAGTAAACAGGTAATTCAGTGTTCAGAACATCTTTCCAGAATTAACATAGCCACTGTTTAGGGGAAAAGGTTAATTTTCACTTCACTAAGCAAGCTCTCCAGCCAACAGAAGAAAATTCAGAACCTGGTTGCAACTGCACTGAGATCACAGAAGAAAATGTATCTGAATGCATATGATTTAAATTTAAATCCATGTTGATTCAATCATCCTGTTCTTCCTCCTCCTCACCATTTTCTACCTCCTTTCAAAAGGCAAAGTTCATTGCCACTTCAGACAATTTCACATTTTCTAATTCAAGGTATTAAGGTGCATTCAGTGCTGCAAAGTCAGCCTTTCAGGTAGGTAAGGGGAAATGGAAGTGACTGCAAATCTATAATCTCGCTGTATGGACCTACTGTCCAAAACAGCATTAAGTGGTATTTCCAGGATACACTGCTTTCTTACAGAGCAGAGGATATACAGAGATGGCTGACCTCATTCTTCAGGTTTCTTGCCAAGAAGTGTTCAGCTACGTGGGCTGGAAGCACATTCTCCAGAAGCACCCGATTTAGGTTCTCCATGGTTTCAATCTCCTCCCGCTCTTTTTTGAACTTGTTCTTCCACAGGAAGTCTAACCTACAGTAATATTCATTCTGTTACAAGAGGACACAGAAGTAAAGAAACAATAGGCATCTTGTCCTGCTGGAGTACAGGTTTAAGAGACAAAATAAGCACAGAACACAACCCCTACAATGCTATTATTAGGCCACTCGAGTATCATTCCAGATCCCACAGAAATCAGACCCCAAGCATGCACTATGTGATATACATTTCATCAAACCCAACACAAAGGCCCAGGAAAAAAAAAAAAGAACAGTTGTAAGGTGCTTTAAACAATGAAAGATTTATTTATTTACTCTCAGGCTTTAGTAGAAATTCATTCCAGAAATCAAACGCTGTAATGGAAAGAATTTACTGCAGTTTTGCAACTTAATATGATTTCCAAAGTGCAGAATTTCCCTTACAATAATGGGCATTTCAGGAAAACCCTTACTTTCACCAACTTGAACTTATGTCATGTAATCAGCCTGGTTACAAGCAAACAGCCTATTGACATAATATATGTCAACATATTGACATACATTTTTTTATAT